GTCAAAACTGAGTCAAACCCAGGCCCATGGACGCAGAGCCAGAAGTAATGACTGCATATTTACATCCATGATGTTCCAGGATGGAACCACACACACACACACCCCCTAACGACCTGCATTTTCAGGAGCAAATTAAGTTCTCATGGTAGTGCCTTTAAAACAAATCATTACTTCCCAAAGCTGGATACAGGACTGTTTAAGGAGGCAGCACATCACATGCCAGAATCCCATGGCGCAGCACCATCCTGCAGGCTGGAGCTCGCCCCATGCTCCAAGTGGACCAGTGGCCTCCGAGAATGCAAATGGGGGATATATTTAATAAAAATTAAACACTAGGTTTGTGAAAGTGCCTTTTGATCATTATAGCCTCTGGTTTGAACCACTTTGGTGTCTCCTGCCAAGTATGGTTTACTGATGACACATCATCATGACACCAGGAATGGACTTGTTGATAAGTTAAATAATGGCACTGCTTGCAGACCATTTTTGTAGCTAAAAATTCTCATGGCATAAAAGAGTCATCATACAGTTATTTCACTGTGGAGAACTTTTTTTTTTTCTTAGAATAACTTTGAACTCTGTAGCTTTTGGGGAAGATGGGTGTTTTTCAAATAAAACCCTGCTTCCATTCTTCCTCCAAAAGCTCAGCTTGTATTAGCTGGAACAATAACAAATTCATGAAAATATGTATTCAGGCAGACTGTAAATTTAGCCAGAGCATTTACATGTTACTAAATCCAAACAAAGATCTAAAGCAAGACGCAAAACACCACCAAAAAAAAACCAACAAAACAAACAAAAACCCAAACTGTTCCAAAAGATATAGACTGAGATTTTTAAAGCTGAGTAAGGGACTCAGTCACACAAGTCTCAAAGAAACTGATTAATTATGTGGTTGGTAATCCCAGTTTAAATGCCAAGTTAATTCCTGATATAACTTCATTGTCTTCAATGGAGTTACACTGCAAATGTATTTGACAGATAGTCATGTTTCTTCTCCAAGAATAACTTCTAAGGCAGAAGGTTTAAACATGAGTGAATGAAAGCCCTGGGCCAAGTTCTACCCTAATTTAAACCCTGTGCAAAAACAGCTGACTTGGAAGTGAGGGTGTAAGGAGAGGCAGAAAGAGACATGAGTCTGTTCTTCCTTTGCTGGGACATTACATCAATTCCCTTAGGTAATGGTCATGTCTCCGAAAAACACAGCAGGAATCCAAATTGCAGTTTGCTGGAGATTCTTTCCTTCCAAGCCTGCAAGGTCTTGTATTTCACAAGTAGTAAGTGTTCAGGGAAGAGCATGGACTAGTCACAGTGGAGGACCATGAAATTAACTTCCATTAGGTACTGCATCCATCCAAATCTTGCCTGCCTCAAAATGCATTTAATCTTCTTTGAGAATGAGCACTGGAAACGGTCATTTTATTATGAACATTGGAATTAGTCAGCTAATTTAATCAGAAAATAGTGCATTTCAGACATTCTCAAACTCAATGTTGTTTTGAATCAAAATCCAGTATTTAGATTATTTTTTTAGTTCATTGGGTTATTTTTGGCTTATTATTAGCATTAGAGCTAAGCACGTCTGAATAAGGCTGATGGATGAAACAGATTACACACACCTTTGCTAAGGTGAGAAGGAAGTAATGCCCATGTCAACTCTTTGTATGTAGCATTGCTAAGGATGCAGGGAAGTTTTATTGCTTTGCCTGAAGTGTCATTTATGCCAGTGGCAGATATTTGAGTACTACAACTCTAAGTGTAGTGAATTCCTAATGTCCTCACTTCTGATTCTTTTACTGGTGGAGTTTATTTTACTAAAACAAAAGTGATGTAATCTGGCAGTAAGTGAGCTCAACATAAACAAAATGGCTCCGCAGTAATACTCCTGAGCTAGGGGGATCATTGCTAGGGCAGACAGTGCGAGCCAGCAAGCTGGTCTCCAGACTGACAGCCCGAATACTTGGATGCCCTTCCCAGCTCCCCTCTCATTGACTATTTTCAGTCAAATCAGATAGCAAAGTCAAATACGTTGTTTTAATACTCAACTGGATGTCAGGGGCTCATCTGCTAAGCACCCCTAGTGAGGCAAAAGTGAAGAGATTTCCCTTCCAACATAATTTGCAGTAGTTATAAACAGGACAGACACTGGATCAAGAGCATCTCACATACCCCATCTGTGAAATGCAGCTGCTGATCTTCAGGCTTGTAAAAATGTGTGGAAGTGAAAAGCTTCATAGGATGGACTGTGACCGTTGCTATGACTGAGAGCAAGGAGTATTTTGAGGCAATCAGACAGGCCAGAAGCAGCGGGACTGAGCAGAGACAGATCCTCAGGAACAGCAGCTCTGTAAATCCCCAACTGTGCGCACCCCCAAAGCTGGTACACAGGACATGGCTCTGAAGCTGACACTTCCCCACTCACCTGGAGTTGTGCTGAGTTAGCGTTTTCTTCCCATCACCAGGCCCAAGCAAGCCTTATGCAAGTACTTTATTACCAGCAGTGCCTAGTGAGCAACTCGCTGGGCTTGCCATGCTCCCCACTGGGACCTGCCAGTGAGGGAGACTAATTGCCATCTGGCTCTACGTATGGCAGCCACCTCCCACCCTTTATTTCTTTTCTTCACCTCCCTCCTGTGTATGTGATTATTTGTTATTTCTGCATAACAGAACTCCCTGCTGGAGGCAAATGCAACCTACTCTTCCCCTCCTCACCAGAGCTCACATCTGTGATCTCTAATTCTTCACCTTTGTAGCACTCAACGCCCATACCATTTCATCCCACGTACATAGCTGTACCTCTCTTCTCCCAGGCTCATCTCAGCTGCTGCAGTCCAGTTCATCCTTTCCTTCTTATCACATGTCACCTTCTCACCCCCTTCATTTGGGCTACCTCCAAAATCAGCTCTTCTCTCTTTTTTTCCTTCAGAGCTGCTGCTTTCTGTCACCTGTCTCAGACATTAGTGCTTGACAGGCTTTCTTCCAGTCCCCATTGTCACTTTGATCCTCCTCTCCAGCAATTTCCATTTACAAGTACAAGGTTGTGATAACTAAGTGGACCATGTTTAAATATAAAAATTGCTGGATAAGTTCCCCAACTCTCTTCTGCCTTTTCTCTCTCTCCATTAGCTACTCCAAGTCCAAGCACAGGCTCAGGGTAGGGCACTGCAACACAGGTTGCACATCACTGCTTCTCCTTCAGGGTATAGCTGTGAAATAAAGCATTTTTAAATCTGTTCTTGAAAAAGAAGATGGTAAGGAGTCTTCTGAAAGCATGTTGGTAGAGCTTTTACCCTGCAGTGCTTCCCCTATCAAACATGACTGGGGAAACAAAACATGTTAGCCCATAGAACATGCTGTGTATTTTACTAGTAATTAGAGAACCTATTACTAGCAATTAGAGAAGAGTCATGACCAAACTTTTGAAACATCAAGATGTTTAAGCTGTTCCAGCTGAGGTAAAATGTGAGGGTAAAAGACCTGATGTAGACATCATCATGGATGGAAAATAAGCTACACAGAGAACTTATTGTAGTATAATGACATCCATGTTAGGACTACAACTTGAAAAGTTACTTTGGCTAAGAATTGCCACATTCACTCTGAGGGCCAAGGAGAGCATTCCTGAAAAGG